TAAAAAGGCAGATAAAAAATACTTCATGCCAGCTAGAGGCCACAAATACCTCTGTATTCACCTGGCCCCAAACTCCCTTGTTATTGAAGTGGTTAATCCGAAGGAGAGACGGGGAACCTGGAGCTACTCCTAAAAATAAAGATGTCAAGAAATTAGATCTATTTGGGCAGAAAGTTTATTCACCTTCCAGCCACGAACTCAGTGGCCCACCACCAAACCATTATTGGCTGCTGTGATTATAGTATGTGGCAGCCCATGGCTAACTTCGAGGCTTCACTTCCTTAAGGGTCCAGGTGATCCCTGAGGAGGGCACAGCTGCAGCAAAAGTGGTCCTCTGGCAGTTGATACAAGACCTCCTCTTTGATGTCCAGGCCCTGTTTGTTGAACAGATGTATAATGAACTCCCATACTAATCTGAAGACTCTGGGGTTGTATATCCCTTCACCAAACCTTACTGCAGCTTAAACTACAGTAATCCCAGGGGCCAAGTGAGTCAGTCCTGGCAGGAACTGCCCCACAAGAAAATCAAGGACTGCAACCATCGCTCGAGCCACCCACCTTCACCCTCTGCCTGGTCTGGTTCAACCTACACTAAGCAGGGGGTGAAAAGATCATTTTGTGGGTGCACCCGAGACCTACCAGACTATTCCTCAGATTCATCTTCCCAAGTTTTTTCCAACCACCTTCCTTTTTTCCTTCCTGCATGAACCACCATAACTATGCTGCTGGAGAGATCCCAGATCTTAGTGGACCTCCTTACATAGCTTTCAGTGTATCTGCTCCTGCTAGACCCCATGGCTACATGTACCTCTGTTGTCCACCACGCCAGGCGTCAGTGTAGCCCTTGTAGCAGTGCCTGGCAATAGTCTACTTCCAGCCCCATCCTGGGACAGATCACCAGTCTTGCTACAATGGTGGACCAATCCTCGGGAGGTCCTGGATGAATTTCCTTTCCATAGTCCCTGTTATTCGATTGGCCTGATTTTGAACACCTGGGATCTCAGTTGGAGAGCACATGTTGGCAACTTTCAAACCCAAGACAAGTGATCCTAATTTAGGCATGGAAGAGATGATGATCTACATCAGCATCAGGGAATCCAATGGTCCATTTAGCCTGCAAAGTCTGCCTTCCACGTCTCTCAGGCAAGGTGATGAGAGTATTGATGGACAACATAGCTTCAATGTTCTACATCAACAGGCAACACACTTGTCAGCTCTTTGCCAGGAAGGCCTCTGGTTGTGGAATTCCTGAATTGTTTTCATATCGCCCACTTGGCAGGCCGTATCTTGTCCGCCCCTTGTTAAAGGTAACTATTAAAAATGTTTCTACTACACAGTAGCAGGGAAGAACCACTATGGTCCAGAAGCTGATCATGAAGGTCTATTATAAAGATTATTTTTACTGGACTTCCCTACTTTAACAGAATCTCAATAATAATTTGATATCATCCTCAAGTATTGATTATTTCTTTAGTCTGAAATGCAAATTCTTAAGTTTTTTACTTTTTTTTTTTTTTTTTTTAAAGCTTCTAGGTCATAATTTCATATCCTATTTAGAAAAAAAATCTATCTTACTTGTAGTAACTTTTGATGGCAACTTATAAAAGCAGTGCACATTTTATGACATGCTGTTTTATATGTGTATGCAGATGCAGCAACTTGAGAGACAAGTTATTGATGCAGATCGTCAAGCAGAGAGGGCTTTTCAGCAGGTACATTTAAACTGCATGTTTGATAGCTATTGTTGGAGAGCATATTACAGCAATCTTAGCAAAGGTGATTCAGAAATATTATTGTATTCCTTAACTAGCATTAAGAGAAGAGGATAATTTCTTTTTAAATGTCCCACTGTCGATGTTTCCTAATGTTGTGACATCTTGAGAGGGGTACCCAAATTAGTCTGTTTCAGTAAAAACAAGCAAGGAGTCCTGTGATACATTAAAGACTAACAAATATATTTGGGCATAAGGTTTCCTGAGCTGGAACCCACTTCGTCAGATGCATAAAGTGAAAACTTGAGTTTGGCTGATAAATAAACACGTGCACAATAATGTAAGACCCATCTTTGCATGTGTATATGTGTGTATATATATATATATATATATATATATATATATATATATATATCATATATCTGCCAAACTGAAGTTTCCACTTATGAATTTGACAAAGCGGATTCTAGCCAATGAAAGCTTATGTCCAAATAAAATTGTTAGTCTTTAAGGTGCCACAAGATGCTCTGTTGTTTTTGCTGTAACATTTTGGTTTGCCACCAAGTTATGGGTTCGTCTTAATATACAAACAAACAAGTTAAGTGTATGCCTTGAACCTTTTTGTTGTACAGTACTTTTATTCTGTATCTTCTTCATGATTTTGATGAGTGATGAAAATGTAACCACCAACAGGTAGATTTGAACCTGGGATCTCTGAAGTGGAGTATAGGAGCCTCTACCCTCTGAGCTAAAAGCCAGCTGGTACCCAGCTCATGATGTAGCGGTCTCTTAATCTTAGCTGTTGCTGTGGTCTAGGTACCACTTGCATTGCTCAGTAACCACACTAGGTGTGTGGGTTACACATATGTAAAACTAACATAAACAAATGAGAGAGAAACAGTCCCGACAAAAACAAAGCCATAAAAATTTAAAATTAACATATTTGTGCCTTACAGCCATATTTCCAAGGGCAAATACCATCACTGACTAGGCGAATTCTCCCATGTTGAGCCCTCTTTTGAAGTTGTGGTGGTTCATATGATTAAATAGTCCACACTTATTAAATTTAGATACTTTGCTATCCCAAAATGCTTCTGTGAAATTGCAGAACTATTAACTGTGGTTTGTAACCTATCCTTTAAATCAGCTTCTATGCCCAAGGACTGAAAGACAGCTAACATAATGCCAATATTTAAAAAGGGCTCTCTAGAGGTGACCCTGGCATTTGCAGACCAGTAACTCTAACGTCAGTACTGGGCAAATTAATTGAAACAATAGTAAAGAATAAAATTGTCAGACACCTAGAAGAACATAATTTGTTTGGCAAAAGTCAACATGGTTTCTGTAAAGGGAAATCATGTCTTACTAATCTATTAGAGTTCTTTGAAGGGGTCAACAAACATGTAGACAACGGGGACCCAGTAGATACAATGTACTTAGATTTATAGAAAGCCTTTAACAAGGTCCCTCACCAAAGGCTCTTATGTAAATTAAGTTGTCATGGGATAACAGGGAAAATCCTTTCATGGACTGAGAACTGGTTAAAAGACAAGAAACAAAGGGTAGGAATAAATGGTCAATTTTCAGAATGGAGAGGTGTAACTAGTGGTGTTCCCCAAGGGTCAGTCCTAGGACCAATCCTATTCAACTTATTCATAAACGATTTAGAGCCGTGGTCACCAACAGGTCGGTCGAGGCCTCGACCATTCGATCGTGAGGCATCCTGTCCGCCCCGCCCCCATTTCCCTCCCACCCCCGAGAAGTCCCACTACCTACCTCAAGTGAAAATGGGGGATGGACAGAAGCCCCGCAGCTTAGCGCCACTTCCGGCGATTCCGTAAGTGCGCTAGCTGCTCTGCCAGGTGAACTGCCGGAGGGAGCATCGGCTCCCTGCACCGCACAGGAGGGGTGAGTCAGCCCCGGGGGAGGCAGACGCGGGCAGGTCGAGGCGCGTGCGGTGCTTCCCTATGCTGGGGGTTGGCGCTGGGGCAAGCGTGTGCGGGGCTTCCCTGCACCGGAGGGGGGGGGGGTTGGCCCTGGGGCAGGCGCGCACTGGTTTCCCCTGGAGGGGGAATCCTGGGAGGAAGCAGATGCAGGGGACCCTTTGCCTCCCCTGGCACCCCCCCCCCCCACCC